GAAATGCACTGAAAAGACCTTCAATTGCAGTGGAGTCATGTTGATTTTGAAAGAAGGCAACATGAGGAAGTAGCCCAATAACAACAGCGACCACCAAAAAAAAAAAAGATTAAAAATGTCCTTTCCACAAAAAGATTTTAAGGATGATAAGTTGATATTGCTTTGATTCGACATTGAGTATAGTAGAGAGAATAATTTTAGAGCATACGTAGATTTAATAGATTTTAACAGTCACATGGATCCGGACGAGTTCATTGAGTGGTTTTAGGTATTAAAATAGGTCATCGAGTACAATGATGTTCCATCTGACAGAAAGGTAAAGCTAGCCCCATTAAGTTAAAAAAAAGTGCATCTCTATGACATAAGTTTAAAATGTTTATGCCAACACGAGGAAAAAAAAAATCACTACCTAATCTAAAATGAAAAGAGAGATGTAGTACAAATATTCATCAATAAATTACAGATAAGACATGTACTTAAGAATTCAACACTTAAAGCAAAAAAGATCTCTCCGTAGAGAAGTAAACAATTCAGTTTGAAGAACTAATGTTGAAGTGTGAATTGGTGGAGCCCGAGGAAAGCACCACAACCTGATATCTCAGGGGATTGAGACTATCCATTAGCAACACGATGGGGTTATAGTCCTAAACATTACAGGATGCCCATATCATGGTACTAATTATGGAGAGATAACAAAATAATATTAGGATCGAACAACACAAGTACAACTTATGGAGAACCCAACCGACTAGCCCAATGAAAAACCAATCCAAAGTAGAGAAAATAAAAAAGACCACTAGTATTCCCAAAGTTATCTTAACCAGGAAGTGCTTCAAGTGCCACTAGTTTGAGCATATTGCTTCCGATTGCCCAAAAAAACATGTGATCCCTTTCACTTGGTAGGGAAAAACTAGAAAAATAGACAATGACATAGGAGAGAATGAGGGTGTCAGAGATGAGTACAAAACTTCAGCCGACGATATAGAGATAATAGTGATCTGACAAGTTCTTCTAATTGATCCTATAAGAGAAGCACCAATAATACTAGCATTGTTTGTTCTAGATGATACAAAGTCCAAAGAATTGATAAAAAATATAAGAAAACTCATGCTAAGAGAGTTATCAAATGTCCTAATTATAAATTTACCTCCTTTGTTGTCACAAAGAGAGATCAAGTATGCCAGAGCTTTTGTTCTGAGATCGGTTCTTCCAAATATACTTGTTTATCGGACCACCCAATCGGATATGAGCAAGGAGACAAGGACTATTTATTGCTCTCAAATTATGATTAAGATGGTTAATAGAAGCTCATTTGTTTTGTCTCCCTTCTACATTTTAATTAGAATTAAATGTGTTAGCTAAGACTTCCCATCCCCATCCACACTACATAATGTAAATGGTGATAATATGGTAGAGCCTACTATTTGAACAACTAATGATGTTTCATTTTCATTGACGGCTTCGAGTGCCACTTCATTGAATGTCAATGAGTTCATACAAGTGAGACCTAAGTAGAAGCTACTAAGCGTGATCCTTAATTAAATATTCCCAATTTTTTGTCATCACTTAGTCATTGTTTATAAATGCTGCATGATTCATTGAGATCAGGTATTAATAAATAATTCAATCAAAAGAGACCTCGTAATACAAACAAAGCAAGACAATAAGAAAATAGTGTTCAAGCTATTGGGTGAGGGCTTTCTTTACTAAGACTTGCTATTATTTTATGAGCTATTTTGAACACTAAACCCTTGAAAATTTGTAAGCAAGAGCCATATGCAACACTTTACCCTTTGAAAATTTGTGAGCAACACTAGATTCAAACTATAAAAACTACTCAGCAATCTATAAGTGCTTTTAGCCATTTTCCCCACCCAAAATACTTTGCTAATGCTCTAAACATAAGTCTACCACTGTTGGTCAGATTAAGGCTTCATAAGAAATAATCTTTAATAAAATTAAAACAAATATAAAATATTTAAACATTTTTCAAAATCTTGAAAATTTCCCATATATATCTAGACCTATTACCCTAATATTTCCAAGTTATCAAAAGAACTAGCATTGTCTCATTCTCCCACTCCAACTTTTAAAGTGAACCTAATGGCTCTCACGTTTGATTGATTTTCAGCCTATTCACCATTTCCTTAACTGCACATATAATTTAATCTAAAGGAAACCATCATCTCTTCCTGACCCTCTTCATAAGGGCTTCTAACAAATTTTAAACTTCATCAAGGGTGCTAAGCCAAAAAGACATCATGTCTCATATGATGAGGTAGACGAATAACGAGGTCACTTTTTACTCTTTTGCTTTTTCTTCGTTCTTTTTTTAAATATTACGAACTTGGCCATGATAAGTAAATTTCCTCTTTCTTTAACTTTCGAGCAATTCTTAGTGTTTGAACTAATGCTAATTCGATTATACTTTCCTCCAATTTAAACAAAGTATTTGTTTATCTTCAAGGCCTTGCACGATAGAATCAACTTAAAGAGTGGCATTTACAATTTTCTAGAAAAGTAAATATATTTCGGTTAGAATCAAATGCTCGAAAGAGTTGGACTCCAACTGTCATTTAATCACATGTTTAACTTAGTTGGACAGCTTTCAACTCCACTTACAAATATACATATCCTGGAGTTCGGTGATTAGCCTACAATTTTAGAAATCTTCTAGTGTCAATTGTCAGCTCAATCTATAAAGGCATTCCAAATTCTACAAATCATTTGGCCAACCTTTAGTAAACCTTCGCAACATTAATTAAATTTTAAAACCATAACAATTTAATCATAAATACCATTCTGACCCAAAATTATTTGGAGCTTAAGCTCAGACAAAAGTAGATAGTGTTTAGGGCAATCCAAGTTAATTTTCCATAGTACGAATTTCAACTTGCCTGAGGAAAAAATAATCATATAGTTTTATGTAGTTAACGAGTTAATTTCTTATCCCTAGTCTTTCTTCTATATGCCAACTAAGTTATTGCATGTTTAGTGTTTTTCTAGGTAATCCCTGTTGCTATCCATGCCATAATGATTTGCATATCATTCATAAATGTTTATTTTTCCTTTGCCTATACACATGTATTTGTAAAGTATAGTAATAAAAGGAGATTGAATCCCTTTTATTAAGACATAACTAAATCATTAAGAAATATAGTGTATGATTCTAAGGCAAGGTCGGCTCAAAGTGGCTTGACATTCCTACTGATACAAATAAATTAAGCACGGGCTTAGAAAGACTCACCATGATGGGTGAAAGGGAACACAATCTTGAAAGATAAGACATTATTCTTTCAATTGGAGAATCCTTGAAGGCAAATTGGATAGACGTGTCGCAGAGAATTCTTATGTAAGAAATAAGAATTTAAACTTGCTATATGAGCAAACTCCTATTGTTAGTTATGCCTTGCGCATGACAATTAAGAAAAAAAATTTTAATTAAAAAGTATTGCTTATGCTCATTATCATAAGTTGGATAAGGACAATATTTTTGAGGAGCAAAATGTAATATAATGTATAAGGATTCCTTTTAATTTCAATACGCAAAGCACAGAAAGAAGCAATACTTATATCAACTAGAATGCTTATAACTTGTATATCATCAATAAAAATCACATCAAATAATAATTTTTAATAAATATAATGATACATTTAGTAACACATACAAAGCTTGATTTATGTAATAAATGACTTAAAATTTCATATAAAAATGAAAAAAATTATGATATACATGTATATTTGAAGGAAAAATTCAAAGTTGAAGTTGAAAATTAAAATTTCTAACAAAAACTTTTATCGCATAAAAAATAATAAAAAGTTAATGTAAATATTAACTTCAAGTTTAAAATATATTTAATTCATAGCAAAAGTTAATCCTAAATTCATAAATTCTAAAATTTCACAAAGCAAGTTAAACAAAATTTATTAGTCATTATTTCCTCTATTAGTCACATAATCTATTTCTTTATCAAGTAGAATTTCATCTTCAAATTTTTCTTTCTCAACTTGTGAGTCAATCTCATTGTCTTTTTCTTGAATAATAAGAAAAGTAGATCGAAATTTAGATGAAAACCCTCATTGTGGATGAAGCTTCTATTATTTGTAACCTACTAATTAACACATCCTACCTTCAATTAACTTTTCCTAATGGCTCTTCAATTTTTCTTCAAATTAAGTCTTCATTACCAAAATATTTCTCACTGGTATCATCCATTTTCACAATTAGTTAACATATAATAACACTATTGTTCTAATTGTAGAAATTACATTTAAACAAAGAGAATATTATTTTATTAAAAAGAAGCAAATTAGGATTTTCTAAAATTAATGAGATTTAATTAATTTTTTTTTCTAAATAGATATTATAGTTAGTTAAATAATTCTAAAAGTAATTAATAGATCACTTTTAGTAGGTTAGCTAAATCTACACAGGTAGCATCAATCCAACCATCAAATAAGAATCAAATGGCTATAATTTGCATTAAAACGATTACCAAGATTCCATGTGACGTAGAAGCTGATGAGGTTAATGTGCCTCACAAATATATGATTATCAAAATTTAAAATGGGCTAATCCATTAAACTGTGCAAGCTTTATCTAGCCGAATCAAAAGGTTATGCCTAATTGTCGTGAGCCAAGCATGATGTAATTGAGTCATTCTGTTCAGTTAGATAAAGTCAACCTTCATTGAGACTATGCCATATAACTATCATATATTAAAGTGATATTGCATTAGGAAGAGGGTGGATTTTTTTGCCACAATATTATTGATGTAAATAGTAAAGAAGTTTAAGCATGAAAACTTTCGCAGCATGCAACATTTTGGGATCATAAAATTCTCAGCACATACTGCCAACAAGATAATCTTATATAATAGGCGCAAGCATTTCAGTATTTGTGAAATATAAGTATGCACAATTAATAAACAACTTGACTTATTTTAACATTGAGGTGAAGGATGCAATATGATATTTGAGCCGATAAGTAAAAAACTCACAGCATCATCAAAAGAAATTAACCGCTCCTTGTCTGTACCAACAGCCAATATCCCACCATCATGCGATTTAGAGATGATTTGACTTAATTCTTGATTAAGATTTCTTTTTGAAATGAATTTGTAAGAACGAAATGCCTTAATAGATGCTAATGTAGCTCCTCTGGTATGTCTTAGGTCCCCTCTAAAGCCCAAGAAAGAAATTATACAAGGGAAACAGCAGCAAATTGTTGCGCACAGGATAAATGGCATGGCATACCCAATGCAACTGAATGCCAGAAAAGCTATACATAACCTGGAGATCAAAAGGATTTAATAATGCTAGTGTAGCAAAAGGTAAATTTTAGTAGACATAGTAAACTTTCAGAATAAATATACCTGTACAAGTTTGGCGCACCTGCAGCAGAGGAGTGTCCACCAAAAATCCATACATTACCGAGAACAAACCAAATGGCAAAGAAACAATTCAATGCCATTTTAAAACGATCAACCAAAGGATTCAGCCTGTCAGGCATATGATATCATGAAACAAAAGGTTATTTCAATATTTTATGCGGAGCTTTCAAATTTAACCAAGATGGCAAACAAATCAAGCCGTGGATCAGAATGTGAGACAGGATCTATACCTTTACTTTCATCTAAAACATTTTCAAAGATAAAAGAGATTGTGTCAGTCAAGGTGATCAAAAAAAAAAAAAACAAGCTATATAAGGTCATGATCCATGCATTATGTTGTACAGTATTGTAACAGTAACTCTAATCACATTTGTCCCCGGCTAGAGGTAGATAACTAACAGTGATAAGGCCAAATCCACTACAAACCTAAAAAATTATTATAATATGATGCAGATATACGAGTTACGACATATGCTTTCTTCTTTTCACACAATAAAGTTTCCAGTAAATTTCTACTCTATAGATGAGGAATGAAGAATAACATTTCTCAAGTTGAAAACTGTGCATTAAGAACCACATGTATTAGATTTTTAAACTGATATGATTTACATTAACAGAATAATAAATAGCCCACCTTAAATACAGCTTCAAGTCTACATACATCAACCACCTAGATCTAACATTGACGGGAGCTTCATGCAATAGGCACATCTATAAGAAAATTAAAAAGAGTCGATGGATATTGTGCATGTAAATTGCAGTTAAAAAGAATATACAAAATTCATCCAACAAAGTAAGAAAATTAAAATAAAAATGAAAGCCTCGGGACCATTTAGTAAACAAATTGACACTCCATCCATTGTTAAGAAGGTATAAGTTGGATCATTCTAGGTTTGCAAATACTTGAATTTTATGATGCTAAAGAAAGGTGCAGGAATTCTACAATCTAGAAGTTAGCAAATGACATAAATTATAGTTAGATATGATATAAAATAAGAGAAGTTTCTATGATATACAATACATATATTGCTTGATTAGTACATTTCAAACTTAATTGAATTGACCTAATTTTCCCTCTTTCCTAGATCCGGTACTTCAAAAAAGTTTCATGCAATTGGCTTGAAGTACCAAAAATTGCGATTATAATAGGGTGTTTGTTTTCAAGTCCTAGACCAGACCCAAAGAGCTTAATTAAGGCCAAGTGGCAAGTCCAACAGCATCATACCATGCTATGCTAAGCATCACCAAACTCATAATATCATAAAATTTAGTAGCTGAAAATACCATGAAGTAGAACCTATAAAATATTGATCCAACCTTGAGAATGCAGCAGTACCAGGGGTTCCTCTTCCTTCCGTATTCTGTGTAAGAGAAACTACAGTGTTTGAAGGAGATTCAGAATATATATTCTGGAATGAAGACGGCTGTGATTGTGATGATGTTTGGTCAAATCCTTGACTATTGAAGTTGCTATAGCGCCAATAAAGATGTGGAAGTGTAGCAGCACAACCAAATGCATAACCAATAACCCAAGCAAATAATGGTACGCGTGGATGCTCATTCTGTGACAAGGATATAACAATGATAGCTGCCAAAATTTGGCACACGTTGACAATCAGCTCAATTGAGATCCACAAACCAGAGTTGAGCAGACTTCTTTGACGACGGCCATGACTGTCTCGTCTTCCAGTAAGAGAAGCATTTCTAAAACTAGAGGCAGTGATTGGTGAATGTGATCGAGAGACAGAACCTTCGACGTCTCTTGATGCCCTGACTTCACTATGTAATTCATTCGAGCCATTATAGGTTAAATCATCAGAGATGAAAGTGGCATAAGAATCACCTCTAGTAATATTTATGATATAATCATGACCATTAATATCAACTGAATGCTCCATCAAAATAGGGTTTTAATCTGGTTGCTTCTAATGCAAGAAAACAGCCTTCAAAGTTCACCAAGGTTGAAATATGTTGGAGTTACAAAGTAGCACCGCCCAGATGGATACACATATATGAATATCTTCTATTCAAACACCAAAATGGAAACAAAACAAAACAAAAATTCAGGAGAAATCAATAAAACAAAAATAAATAACTTTCAAGCAAACACCATAAACAAAAAAGCACATCTTCTTTCTAACAACAAGAAGACATTTAAAATGAGATCCGATCTGAAAAGTTAAAATATTAACTTATTAACAAAGAAACGGACAAAACCATGTAAAGACTCTACATATGCAAGTGAATTACAATTATAAGCTCCAACTGGAAACGTAGTAAAACAGCAGAAAACTAAAAGCTACATAAGAGATCAGTGGTACACATAGTGCTAATATTTACAATGTTTTCAAAACATAACACTCAATATGATGCATAAAAGTTTCTTTTACATTAATATGCAAGCCAAGCAACAATCTAAACAACTTTAGTGCTCATGACACGTTTATCATATATACATATATTATGAGCATAAAATAATTTTTTAATGAACTAAACTCAAAACATATAAATTAAAAATTGCTAAATAATTTTATATTTAAAAAAATAATTTTCAGTTATCTGAAAGCCAAAATAAATATTTAATTGATGGAAAGTCAGTACAAACGTTTTAGTGAGGCATACAAGAGTCAAAAAAGGTTAAAATGTACAAGTACACCCCGTATACCGCAAAAATCCAATTAGATTTCATGAAATCGTAGAAGCGCGCCAAGCAAGAGTAGAGGAGGTCAATCATAATAGGAGGGGGAGGGGTTCTAGAAATGGAGTCCGACAACAGACTATGAAGGGGGCTTCCACCCGAGACAATCAAACTGTCATCCTGGAGATTCTAGAGGTGAGGCATTTCTTTTTTCTTCCTCTTGTATTTTTGAATCAGTCATTCATCTTCCTCTTGTTGTTCCTGATCAGCAGGTTTGTTTAGAGGTGAATTGTCATCAGGTTCACTGGGAGCAGGTTCAGGCTGTGTAGAAATGTTTCCACTGTTAGGAATGGGGACAGCAGGCAGCTCATCTTTCTAGTTAACATTCGTAACAGCAGGTTTCAAAAAAGTTGCAAGATCTAAAGTTGCTTCTTGGGTATCACTGACATAATTAATAAGTTCAGAAATAGATGATTCCTTTGCATTTTGTTCTAAAAAAGCATTGTCAGAAATAGCATATTCAGGAATGTATGGCTCCTTTGCATTTTGTTCAGCCATAGGATTATCTATATCCAGCTGCATTGGAATATTGGGTTTCAATTTTGGGTGTAAGCTGAAGCATTTCTCACGTGTGTGGCCAAACATCTTGCAATAATTGCAGTAGTAAAATCTTTATTTCATAATAATTTGTTGTCAATAACCATTGTGAGCAGTGTCAAGCTAAACTTTTTCTACAATTTGAAGTGTAATATCCCTATCTATTAAAATTCATGTAACAGAAGGCTAAAGGTAAAAATGTCTAATCATTGGTTTTCCATGGATAGCTCCAATAGCATATAATACTTGATGATTGAAGAAGTGAAGCTTGAGTCCATGTAATTTAAACCATATAGGCACAATGGGAGGTTCTTGACTTGGATCAAAGGCAGGGGACCATTTAAACAATTTCATATATTGGCCCTCAATTAAGATGAATTTTTTTTAATATTTTTGCATAGTCTTCTTCTTTGCTTGGCTGTATCATAACATGTCTTCCATCAAAAAGTCCTACCTTCTAGTCACCAACAAGTTTAAAATCTTCAAAAACTTTCCTGATAGTATCCATCTTATGGTGACCCAATTAAAAATTTCCAATCAGTGTAAATTTATAATTTTGTGCGAGGGTTGAAATTTCAGTGTCAGAAAAAAATAATGCTAGTTTGCCCCCCTTTTTCCCTATTTTTTTTATTAAGTTACAATCTCTACATCTCGCAAATGAATCATGGAACGTCTGCGGAAATACCAGACTATATCCGAGGTGGAAAGGAGCACCGGCTTTGTCAACCACTATAGCATAGGAGGGTTTGCCCTCATTCGGAGTAGGTTCAGTCAGAAGAGAAGATGAGAGAGTTGTAATGAAACCAGAAACATAAAAACACTGTAAAAACCCGAGCAGAGCAACGAATGGCAAGAATCAACCCGACACGGGAAGCCAACCAAAGAACAGGCAGCAATGAAGAAAGCATCCAACAACCCACGAACGAAACGCAGAGCATGGAAGGGACTCGCCCAGATATGCTGCCAAAATCCTAAAACGAACGAACATCAAAGTTGCCCGAACCAGCTTCCGACGCACAAGATCTTCTCGAGGCTTCGACTCGCCACCATCTCAGCAGAAGAGGGGTGAACCAATAACGAAAATTTGGTTTGCACGCTCAGTGGTCATCCGCCGTGGAATCGCCTTACCCAAGCTCCCGTCATCGCATTTTTCCTTGCACTAGCACCGCTGCCACGATTCAATGACTTAGGGCCTTTGCGTGACGAACTCTAGTGATACGGTAGCGTTTGCAGCCTGTTGGGACGTCGACGACACGCTCAGGCGTGCCCTAGGACAGCATCGCTAGCCAGCACCGCCCTAGCGATTCTGTCTGCGTCTCGGCTTCGCACGACACGACTGTGTCTCCGCTTTGCTATCCCACAACCCCCGC